CAAAGTACACATCAGGACAATGTTCCCGCATTCAGCAGGCAGTAGTAATTTTAGGCAACACAAAGCAAAGTACACATCACAACAATGTTCCCGCATTCAGCAGGCAGTAGTAATATTAGGCAACACAAAGCAAAGTTCACATGGTGATCAATAAGGGCAATGTTCCCGCATTCAGCAGGCAGTAGTATATTAGGCAACACAAAGCAAAGTACACATGGTGATCAATAAAGGCAATGTTCCCGCATTCAGCAGGCAGTATTAATTTTTAAGGCAACACAAAGCAAAGTACACATGGTGAACAATAAGGGCAATGTTCCCACATTCAGCAGGCAGTAGTAATTTTAGCAAAGTACACATGGTGATCAATAAGGGCAATGTTCCCACATTCAGCAGGCAGTAGTAATTTAAGGCAACACAAAGCAAAGTACACATGGTGATCAATAAGGGCAATGTTCCCTCATTCAGCAGGCAATATACCGATCCAAGGGACAGAGCAAGGGTTAGGGTTAGGGTATTCAAAGTAATTCAATTCGGGTTTTTGAAAACAGGAGGCTACTAAGGTGATCTACGGCACGGAGCAAGGGTTGCTGTTGAAATCAATCTCTGGGTAGCCCAAAACTGGCAAGTTGGCCTTTAAGAAGACCAGCTTTTCCACCGCAAGGGGGTCGAGCGAAGTACGTTGGAGGGTGACGACATCTCCTGCCAGGCTGAAGACCCTCTCACTCTGCACGCTAGTTGGTGGGCAGCTGAGATACTTGCGTGCAACGGTTGAGAGGTCAGGCCATGTATTGCTTCGGGAGGACCAGTACGCCAATGGATCGCTGTCTACAATCTCCTGAGGCTCCTCAAAGTAACGATTGACAGAGAACTCTGCTGAGTCAATCTTTGCCGCCTGGGCCGGCAAAGATGTTTCTTGCCCTGCCATCAAAACGATACTATCGGTTATGAAATGCTCCACGCTTCTCTTTTTCAGCTGCACTGCTCTTCCTTCATCCCTGGTAGGTGGCAAGGTGGGACTAATGTTATCGGTGCTGCCGTAACCGCTGGTGTTTCGGGGAGTAACGGCAGCAGGAATTTGCTCTGAGCGTTCCCCCACCCTCCGAGAGTATTCTTCTCTCACGAGCGAGAGAAGTTCGGCCTTCCACTTTGGCAGTTCTTTGGGGCAGACAGAGTCCTTGATGCAAGGGTCGCAGAGTGCTGCCAAAACATGAGTCTTACTCTCCGTCAACGGTAGAAGATATTTACGGAGGGCGAAATTCAACTTTCTGACCACCTCCTGGGCCTGTGGAGTCAGGGGCCCAGCCATAAACTGCAATGTACTGTGTCCACCCAGCGACTCCAAATGGCTCTTCAAACGCAAGATGACTGGGACCACATGGCTGAGTAGTGCTTTCTCTCCTGAAAGTTTTTCGGTGGCCAGTTTGAATGGTTCTAGGATCTCAACCAGCTGAGTGATGGTCATCCACTCCTGGTTGTTGGGGACCAGCTTGTTTATCGGAGCCGCAATTGATAGTGAGACAGCATGGACTGCCCTCTGTTGCTCCACCATGCGCTCCAACATGATGTAGGTGGAGTTCCAGCGGGTGGGGACATCCTGCAGTAACCGGTGTTGTGGGAGGCACTCCAGCGTCTGCCTGTCACGCAGCAGTTTTGCGGACTTAGAGCTACGGTGGAAGAAGCCCGCGATTCTGCGGCAGCGCTCAATGAGTTGAGTGACGGCGGTGGCGCTGTTCTCATCGGGCCCCTTGAAGCCATCTTTTACACAATTATGCAGCAAGTGCGCCATGCATGTTACGTTTGAGAAGCCGGCATTTTCGACCACCCGGATCATGTTCCTTCCTGCGTCTGTGACCATGAATCCCGAGTTAGTACCACCGTAATGAGTATGCTGCATCCAGTCTCTCATCATCTCTCGCAAGTACTCAGAAATGGTGTCGGCCCTGTGATCCGTATCTATCACCTCAAGGGACAGGAGTGCCCAACGATGACCTGAGTCTAGGCAACCCTTCATCTCCCACCAGTGAGCGGTCAGGGACAAATAGGAATGCCCTCCTCCCGTGCTCGTCCAAATGTCTGAGGTGAAATGTACATAGACGGGTTGTGATTTGTTCAACAGGGTTCTGAGACGTTGCTTGCATCCCTCGAACAAAGCGGGAATGACTGTTCGAGAGAAAGTTCTGCGACTTGGGATATTGTACCATGGTGCCAGGAGGTGAACAAATCGGCGGAAACCTTCCCTTTCCACCATACGGAAGGGCTGGTGGTCCAGAGCCATCATCTCTCCCAGGCGACGTGTTATTTCCTTCACTGATGGCGGCTTAAATCCAGATCTCACCCTTGTAACTTGCATGCCCCAAGCATCGATGGTTTTCTGCATGGGGCCTGTTGGTGTGGTTGGAGTGCTCTGTATACTGCTGCATGTGCTGCCGACTTCAACTGCGTCCAACTTCACATTTGGGTGGTGTCTCTTAATGTGCATCCTTAGCCCTGTTGTGACAAGATGCCTCATATCTTTTCCTCTGCTGACGCTCACACCGCAATGCCTGCAAACTGCCAAAGTGGTCCTCTGATTATGGACATCGTAATGATCCCATAGGAGCGAT